TAGTTTTTTTTTTTAATTTTGATCAGTAACAGATTATTTTCTCCGCTATCAGTTATTCTTAAAACTCAAGTAACAAATCCGATGTAAATCTACTAGTACTTGCACAAAATTTAGCTGGCTAGTTTTCATCCTATAATTCCGCACTATAAGAAAAAAAATTAACCTGCCTGACACTCGTTACTTCAGGGAATGAGTGCAAGGTAAACATCGATGATGGCTGGTACATTGCGCTAATGTAGTGGTTTCAATATTAAAGAACAAGGTTCAATTAGGGTCTTTTTTGGCCCTGTGAATTTCAGAAAAATTGAAACTGCTTGGTTTTAGTTGACAATGCATTAAATATCATTTAAACCTTTGATGACTGCGTATCTATCAAAAAGACGTAATTTTCTGGCTAGCCAATGCATTATGACGTCATGAAATGCGCCATTTTCCTCATATCCTGAAAAATTCTAAAAAACAGCCAATTTTTAAAGCTATTTTTCGATATTTAATATAGAGCGTAACCTCTGATCTTAAATATGCAACTATTAACTGATAGAACTATTTCTGAGGATTAGAAAACCTGTTTTATTTTTTTTTAGATCAGAGGGTGCGCTCATATTATTTCTCTTCTGTGAAAGTACTCAAATATACTAGTTTTCCTTAAAATTCAATAACATTGCAATTCCATGAAGCCTGTTTTCCAGAACCTTTGCTTTAAGGAGAAAATTTTTAATAGGTTATGAAAGCACTAAGTCTCTACTTTATCTTGATGTTTAAAATGGAACATAAAGTGTTAGTCAATAAATTGGTATATCTACAGGTCCATTTTATGCATAAAGTGAACCTAGCTCTTTTCAGGCAGCCGATCTTGGTTTAATCCCGACTATATCTGAATTTTTTGCATTTTTCGTTTTTATTTATCTAGAGTAACCTTAAATATCTTTCAAAATTTCACTTTTGGTCGCGTGTTTTTCTGTCCTCAAAATGAGAAATTGTCTGAGCGACATCTCAAAAATAGGTAAAAGATTAAAACACCAAATTTTTATGAGTAACAGACCTTGAGGAGTAGGCAAAACCATTTTGGATAAACGCGTCAGTCTAAACTTCCGGTCGTCACAGGAAGTCATCAAAGAAATAAAAAAAATTAACTTTTCTTTTTAAAATTAAAGTTTGCATTAATTTATTGTATCTCTTTCGCTGTTTTAAAACTTCAACTTCCGTTTTAGGTGATAAACTAAGTTATTTCGATATTTAACTTTTGTCATAAATATTGCTTATCGATAAAGTACTTGAAATGTTTTTTATGCATTTTGTAGATACTGCAAATGTCTACAGAAACGTCAGAGATTTTTTTTTTAATAAAATTCACTTCCAGTCGCTTGTTTACCTGTCCTCAAAATTAGAATTTGTTTTCACAATATTGCTCGGCAACAGTAAACGATTGAAGTCTGAAACTTTCAGGACTGATAGTCAGTCATCAGTTTTCTTAATCGCGAGAAAATCTCGTATCGCTGTTACTTCCGGTCGTGACAGGAAGTGATGCAAAAAAGTGAATGGTTAATAGTTAGCTCGTTGGATTTTCAGGCTGACGACCAGGGTTAAATCTCCAGAGTGTCTGAATTTCTTTTATCACCTTTTCAGCTTGAATTTACGTTTTTATTCTCAAAATCGGACGGAAGACCTCTCATTGCTCGCAATGAGTTTCTAGTTAAGGTCTTCCGTCTCCACGGAAGACCTTATAGTGATTCTATTGTTTCTTATTATTATTATTCTTTTTTTTTTTAGACAAAATTTTGTGCACGCGATTTCTCAAAAACTATTCAATGAATTTCTTTGAAATTTTCAGGGATAAAAGGTCTCTATATGAATTTTATATAAAATTCCGTTTTTTGGTAAATTCGGTTCCAGTGCCAAGTTATGGACAATTTCCTGATTTTAAAATGAAATTTTGTCCTCGAAGGATCTAAGGAACGGCTAAAGATATGAACTGGAGACTTGTTAGAGATGATAGGACACGACTTCTAGATTTGCAAAATTGCCTTTTCTTGCATCGTCAGTACTTCCGGTCGCTTACGGAAGTGATCAAAGAAATCGTTATTTTTCAACTTTCTTTTTTTAAATCAATACTTACATCGCATTATTGCATCTCTTTTGTAGTTTCGAAATATGTTGGTCCCACTGGAAACAAAATCGTCAACTTCCGGTTATAAGAGAAAAACTACATAATTTCAGTATTTTTCTTTCCCATTAATATCGTTTGTAGATAAAGTTTTTGGAATGAATTTTAAATATGTTATTTAGACTGCAAATGTCTAGTGTAGTGTCAAATATCTGTGTTAAATTAACTTCAGGTCGCGTGTTTTTCTGTCCTCAAAATGAGAAGTTGTCTGAATGAGATCTCGAAAACGGTAAGAGATTAAGACACCAAATTTATATGAGCAACAGACCTTAAGATGTAGCCAAAACCATTTGGGTTCAGAGCGTCAGCCGTCACTTCCGGTCGTCACAGGAAGTGATCAAAGAAATCGAAAATTTCAACTTTTCTTTTTTTAATTAAAAATTGCATCACTTTATTGCATCTTTTTTGCAGATTCGAAAGATGTTGGTACCACCGGAAACAAAAACGACAACTTCCGATTATAAGAGAAAAACTAAATAATTTGAGTATTTTACTTTCCAATAAATATTCTTTATAGATAAAGTACATGAAATGAATTTTAGAAATGTTATTGAGACTCCAAATGTCTAGAGTAATGTCAAATATCTTTGTAAAATTCACTTCCGGTCGCGTGTTTTTCTGTCCTCAAAATGAGAAATTGTCTGAGCGAGATCTCAAAAACAGGTAAACGATTAAAACACCAAATTTTTATGAGTAACAGACCTTGAGGAGAAGGCAAAACCATTTTGGTTAAACGCGTCAGTCGTAACTTCCAGTTGTCACAGGAAGTGATCAAAGAAATCAAAAATTTTAACTTTTCTTTTTTAAATTAATACTTGCATCACTTTATTGTATCTCTTTCGCTGTTTTGAAATATGTTAGATTCGACCGGAAACAAAAACGTCAACTTCCGGTTTTAGGTGATAAACTACGTTATTTCGATATTTAACTTTCTCATAAATATTGCTTATCGATAAAGTACTTGAAATGTTTATATGCATTTTGTAGGTACTGCAAATGTCTAGAGAAAGGTCAGAGTTTTTTTTTAAAAATTCACTTCCGGTCGCTTGTTTACCTGTCCTCAAAATTAGAATTTGTTCTTACAATAGTGTTCGGCAACAGTAAACGACTGAAGTCTAAAACTTTCAGGACTGATAGTCAGTCATCAGTTTATTTGAATCGCAAGAAAATCTTGTATCGCAGTTACTTCCGGCCGTGAAGGAAGTGATGCAAAAAAGTGAATGGTTAATGGTTAGCACGTTGGATTTTCACGCTGACGACCAGGGTTAAATCTCCAGAGTGTCTGAATTTCTTTTATCATCTTCTCAGCTTGAATTTACGTTTTTATTTTCAAAATCGGACGGAAGACCTCTCATTGCTCGCAATGAGTTTCTAATTAAAGTCTTCCGTCTCCACGGAAGGCCTTATAGTGATTCTATTGTTTCTTATTATTATTATTCTTTTTTTTTTAGACAAAATTTTGTGCACGCGATTTCTCGAAAACTATTCAATGAATTTCTTTGAAATTTTCAGGGATAAAAGGTCTTTATACGAATTTTATATAAAATTCCGTTTTTTGGTTAAATCGGTTCCAGTGCCAAGTTATGGACAATTTCCTGATTTTAAAATGAAATTTTGTCTTCGAAGGATCTAAGGAACGGCTAAAGATATGAACTGGAGACTTGTTAGAGATGATTGGACACGACTTCTAGATTTGCAAAATTGCCTTTTCTTGCATCGTCAGTACTTCCGGTCGTCACAGGAAGTGATCAAAGAAATCGTTAAATTTCAACTTTCTTTTTTTAAATCAATACTTACATCACATTATCTCTTTCGTAGTTTTGAAATATGTTGGTCCCACCGGAAACAAAAACATGAACTTCCGATTATAAGAGAAAAACTACATAATTTAAGTATTTTTCTTTCCCATAAATATCGTTTGTAGATAAAGTATTTGGAATGAATTTTAAATATGTTATTCAGACTGCAAAGTTCTAGAGTAATGTCAAATATCTTTGTAAAATTCACTTCCGGTCGCGTGTTTTTCTGTCCTCAAAATGAGAAGTTGTCTGAGTAAGATCTCGGAAACGGTAAGAGATTAAGACACCAGACTTATATGAGCAACAGACCTTAAGATGTAGCCAAAACCATTTGGGTTCAGAGCGTCAGCCGTCACTTCCGGTCGTCACAGGAAGTCATCAAAGAAATCGAAAATTTCAACTTTTCCTTTTTTAATTAAAAATTGCATAACTTTATTGCATCTTTTTCGCAGATTCCAAAGATGTTGGTCCAACCGGAAAGAAAAACGTCAACTTCCGGTTAGAGAAAAACTATATAATTTGAGTATTTTTCTTTCCCATTAATATATTTTGTAGATAAAGTATTTGAAATGAATTTTAAATATGTTATTCAGACTGCAAATGTCTAGATTATCCTTAAATATCTTTCAAAAATTCACTTCCGGTCGCGTGTTTTTCTGTCCTCAAAATGAGAAGTCTGAGAAAGATCTCAAAAACAGGTAAACGATTTAAACACCAAAACTTGTATGAGTAATTGACCTTTAGGAGTAGGCAAAACCATTTGGGTTCAACGCGTCAGTCGTCACCTCCGGTTGTCACAGGAAGTCTTCAAAGAAATCAAAGATTGAAACTTTTCCCTTTTAAATTAAAACTTGCATCACTTATTGCATCTTTTTCGCTGTTTTGAAATATGTTAGATTCCACAATTATAACTAGTTTGGTATGTGTTGTTTGGTCCCCTGTCCAGCAGCGCACGCACGCCACAGCTGAAGCAGTGTTTCCTAATGGCATTGGCATTGCACTGTCCCTTCTAATAGGTAGGACCACTTCTCTTCCAGGACGGTTAATATTGGTCAGTTTCTGAATGGTTTGGCGGGCCCGGTTGCCATGGGTGTTCCGCCAGTTTTGTCAGCTTTGTGGTTTCCTGTCAAAGAACGCACAACAGCCACAGCAATTTCCTTCGTTGTTTCAAGCATCGGTATCGCTGTCTCGTTTTCGCTTGGTACGTCTTGTTGAATTAAGTACTTACCACATCTTGTCTTTGAACAATTTAGCCAACAATCGAAGCACTGCAAATCCATACACACGGCTTATCAGCACACATGTATCCTAGCATACAAGAAGACAGACTATACAGGTTCAATCCAAAATGTACGCTCAAATATACTCTATAGGTCCGTGAACGTAGGACAAATGTTGAATGGGTTGGCGGGACCTGTAAGCGCTGTTCCACCCGTACTATCGTCTGCTTGGTTTCCAACAAACCAGCGATTGACAGCTACTGGTGTCACAACTGCGTCATCATTTCTTGGCATCGCATCTTCCATGGTAATAGGTACAAGTAATGTTATTTGGGTTTCCCTTCGAGTATGTCACTTGTACTCAAAATTTATATCGGTCTTTTTTTTAATCTAAGAGCATAAATGGTACTATTTTTCCTGGAAATATTACCGTGTAGAAAAAAGTTAAATGTGAAAATTATTTGTATGGCACATCAATTTCACACACACACACACACACACACACACAAATTAAATACTGCTTTGATTTTGAGATTTTAGATTCAGTCTCCCTGATTATAAATAACGGTTTCTAAACCACAGTTCTTGATGTCAAAGTAAACTTACTAAAACTCTTACATCCACTGTATCAGCAATTTGAACCCAGTACTTCCACACTTTGATTTGAACCCAGTACATATTTTGAATAAAATACCTACACATAACTCTGCATATCAAATATTTTTTAAAGGTTTAATTCATATATCATATATGTACACAGGCACTCTGGCTTCGTTCAAACCTTATTTAGTATCACATGTATCCTGTTTCTAAGTTTTAGAAATATGAGCCTTTGTTAAATGGCTGATCACTTGCTGGGCTTTTTTAAGTGAAAAAATTAACTGTCTCTCATAAAAGCGTAATTACCATCCAATGATTTTGAACAGTGCCAATATGATGCTGAATTATCTATGATCATGCATATTAACTGATGTCTTTACAGGTCCATATATGGTACCGGACAGAACCTCCAACACAACCTCCACAGTAAGGTATAAAACAGTGTTACCTTTGTTTTTATATTGAACAGTTGCACTTTAATTATATGTGTTATTCGATCACATCTGTTCATAATTCGTTTCAGCAATACCTCATTGATCAACACAACAGGTAAGCAGAAACCACATCTAGCATAATTACAATGGAATATCCATAACTATAGGCTACAATTCACTATAGAATATACAAGGTACTAGTTCAGCACATCTAAATATCTCAAAATTATATAAAGGACAGTTGATTCTATAATACAGACAAAAGAGGAATGCTACAGGAATTCAATCATATCCAGATTTAGTATTGCCATACTTTAAAAAAGAAGAAATTAAAGTGTCTCTATTTCTGCAAAATATGGAAGGGTAATTAGTGCCACGTAATTTTTTTTAAGTTGGTAATTCCAACTTAAAAGTTGGTAATTTCAACTTTAAAGTGATAATTCCAACTTTAAAGTTGGATATTCCAACTTTAATCTTGGCTTTTCCAACTTTAAAGTTGGTTTTTCCATCTCTGTGTGGCTTTATGCATTATATTCAGATACTTTGTAGCTGGACTCGTGTTTCCGTTTTCTGCATGTAATTACAATGGAAAGAAAACGTTTTAAATTATGAAATAATGATGAAAGAAGGAATTATTAATTTCATTCTGTTTTCATGTACAGAATTGATACATTTAGTTCTGTTGTATTTGTTGTAGCATGTAATATAGTGTTGAGTCATCTTATATATCGAACACCTATTAATGGTCTCATTTGTTTAAGCTTATTCTCTCAAACATAACAAAATATATGTCTGATCTCTTAAATAGGTTTGGTTGAAATCCTGTCAAGTACGTAGTTGTATGAAGTTATTCTCTATATAATTATATAAGATGGACTAAAAGAAATATAAGGGTTTTTAATTAAAAGTTGGAAGTTATATGTAAGGTCATATTGAAAGTAAGGTAAAAAATGATTGACACAGATTAATTGCACACCAGTCTATTTCAGAGATAAGATAAGATAAGATATTCTTTATTTCCCCCAAATTAATGGAGAGTTTGTATGATCAAATAATTAATTCATGTAACAACACAATACAAAAGAGAAAACATATTTATATATGTACAAATTTAATGTAAAACATTACAGGTTTCTACAATCTATGGCAAAAAGGCTTTTGTTTTTATATACTGTTGAGGCAACGATTATCATAATACGCTTCCATTTTGTAAAAGATATTTTTTCAAAACTTGTGCCTTGAACACAACCCATTAACGATAAAAACTGTAAATCGGGATCTTGATCTTCAAATAAAACATACTCGTTTACATCAAGTATATCTAAAATGTCCTCAAACATAGTTTCTCTGTCGTCTAATAATGTAAAACAACTTAAGATCAAGTGCATATTATAGTTACTTGTTAGCTTATTACAAAGTTGACAAAATTTACGAACAATTTTCATCGATGAAACCTGAATCAAAAAATTGATTAACAGTCTTTTTGAGGGATCCTCTCTAGCAATCTGCCACAATTTATTTGGGTTTAACATGGTATGTATTTTACTGAAAAAAGACATATCAGGATCTCCAGACAGAGCAGCACGCCATTGTTTTTCCTCTGCTGACCATATTGTTTTGATAATCATTTTTGAAAATTCCTTTTTGCCGTATATAATACTACAATTATTTTCAAACACATCTAAGAGCTGGTATTTGTTAGCAGTTTGTAACATGTTTTTGGTTGCAAAAAATTTTTCAGATACATGAACATCAGAAATAAACTTATAGATCTGATAATGTACAGAGGTTTGTTCTGACCTATGGAGTCTACCTAAAAAAAGTAGGCGACATTTATCAATGTAACCCTGTATAGTCCACAGACCAATATTTGAGATGCTTGAAAGTGACGGAGAAAACTTTGAAAATCCTTGAATTATTCTGGAGAAGTGTCTTTGTACATATTCAAGTTGTTGCATGTCTGTTAGTGACAATGACGGCCAAATATCGCAGGAGTAGAGGGCAGACGGTAGTACGACCCGTTTCCATATTTTTGCAGATACAACGGGATGAATGTCAGAGTTATTAACACCAATAGAATATAAAGAGTGGATTTTTGATCTAGCAGTTTTGCACACTCGTTCTGTAAGTTTGTCACTTTTCATGTTGGCCTGGAGAAGGCAACCAGCATATATTGTATTTTCAGACTGAGGTATTTCACTACCAAAAAGCGTAACGCTACAAGATAAGGAACATTTTTGTGTTTTCCTAAATACAATAAAGACACTTTTACTAGGATTATAATGGAGTCTCCAAGTAAATGCATAGTTTTCTACATGGTTGAGTAAACACTGTAAGGATCTTGGTGAATTGCTCATTAGAGCAGTATCATCTGCTAATAGAATACCTGGAATGTGTTAATCACCCAGTAAAAGACCATTGCCATTTTTGCATATTTCATATAATAAATCATTAATATACACAAGAAACATAAAAGCACTAAGTATCCTTCCTTGCCCTACACCTTGACAAGTTTTGAACAAATTGGAGTTTACACCACAAAATGATACAAAACATTTGCTGTCATTATACCAGTACTTTAAAATTTGCCAAAATCTGGAGTCAATTCCAAGATTATACAACTTAAATAAGAGACCATTATGCCAGATTCTGTCAAAGGCTTTTTCATTGTCTAAAAATGCACAGAAAACTGGAGAAACTCTATCTACATAGTAGCTAATAGATTCTTTTAGGACATAACATGCTGGGATGGCACCATAACCATTTCTAAACCCAAACTGTAGATTATGTGGAAATGATTTTCCTCTACAAATTAGACCATCTTCAATTTTTGACAAAAGTATTTTTTCAAATAATTTACTGACTACAGATGTCAATGTGATACCCCTGTAATTAGTAGGAATACATTTATCTTTGTTTTTGCCTTTATAAATAGATATAATTTTTCCTACTTTGAACATTTCAGGAACGTATTTTTCTCTGATTATAGCATTAAAAAGTAAGCACAGTTGTTCAGACACAATATGACTACTGTATATAAGGTGTTCGTTAGTGAGAAAATCTGGTCCAGGAGCTTTTCCTTTGGTAAGCTGTTCAATTTGGTATTTGACATCTTCAACAGATATGACGTCCCCATCAGTGAATATGCCATCGCTGCTCTTTAGATTATTATCGATGTTCTGCACAGTTTCATCTATAAAGTGTTTAAAATCTTCATCAAATTTACCTGGATGGTACTCTTCGTTAGCAAGGTCAGAATAGTATTCTTGCCATAAATTGCACATGTCAGTAATGTTCTCAGCAGTTTTCCCTTTATAAATTAATTTTGATGGAAAAGATGAACCTGCTCGTTTTTTATTTTTCCATGCTGTCCTATAGAAAGTTCCTATATCAATTTCAGTGGCTTTGTCAATTTCATCGAATATTGCAAGGTGTCAGTCTTTTTGTGCAAGTCTGTGCAGTTTTCTGAATTTACGTTTTGATTTTTTATAGTTTTCATACGATTCATTTTGTTTATCTCTAGGAGATCCCTTTGATTCCCAGGTCCTTCTTGAGCATCTCATTTCATAATGGGCGCTGTTTAACTCGGATTTTTTCCAATATGGTTTTAGATGCGGATTGAATTTTCCATATGGTATATGTCGATCAGAAGATGCTAAAAGCGAAGCAGTAATATGGACAAGGAACGTATCAATATTATCCTTATGTAGAGTTCTTGTATCTGCTTGGTTTAAAAGGTTAGCAAACGAATTTTTTAACGATTCCAGTTTGTTGGTGTCAGCCAATTTCCATTTTGGGATGTTTCTTGAATAATCTGGAGGTAACTGGGCGAAAACACCAGTTATGTCAATTTCACAGAACAGAGGGAAATGGTCAGAAACTTCATAGGCAAAATCTTGATATATTTCGTTATATTTCACTTCTTGAGAAAGCCATTCAGGAACAAAAATGTAGTCTAGAAGCGACTTCAGTTTTTGATCTTTTGTTTGGAATGTATATTGGTGTTCAGTAGAAAATATACTACAAAGGTTTCCGTCTAGCGTATTTTCTGTAAGGAGCTTTGATTTTGGACTGCTAGTTTTGTTTTTGATATCTGTATTAAAATCACAACATAAAATTACAGGACCAGTTTCACTAAGCTCATCAAACAAGTCAAATACGTCCTGCATCACACGTTTGTATTCCTCGTAATGAAGGTTTGTTGAGGGAAGGAGGCATCCAATAATAAACTGGTTTGTTCCATAAATAATTTCAATTCCCATTATTCTTTCATTCGCTGTCTTCACCTCTTTTACAGAAAATTCACTGTTATTTCGAATCAAAAATGCAGTCCCTCCTCTAGTGATGTTGTTTTTGGATATTCCTGGTGTTGCAAAACAGGTTATGTTATCTGGCATTGATGTACGCAAACATGATAGACAATTTTTCGGAAGCCAATGTTCAGATATAAAAACGACATCTGCAAACTTTGTTACATCAGATAGTTCTGATAGGCAGGTGAAAACGCCATGTACATTCCAGCAAGACAGAATTATAAGGATTATTATGAAACGTGTCACTGTCATCATGGATCGTCTGTACTTCCAGGGTCAGGTTCAGTATTTCTGTCATTACGGATGATCCATTCTCTGGCCGAAATAGTTTCTGGCCAGAATTTTGGATTCTGTGTTTTTTCGTAGTCATCTTCATCAATGCTTGCACGGATTACAAATGTGGGAAATCTTCTTTCTGAGTGATGTGCTAGAAGAAATATGTCCGACACTTTAACATCTCGTTCTTCACACCATTCACGAATATCTTTTTGGACCTCCTCGAATGTTGTTCCTAGTGCCTTTATGTTAGCTAAGACAATTCGTTTAGTACGTTGTTTCCTGCGGACGAACGTATAACCTGTAAAAGTTGATCTTGGTTCTTTATTTTCATATTCATTTGGTATCCACTCATTGTCTTTTTCTGAAGGTGTAAGTACGCTTGCAAAAGTTTTCGTATTACTTAGATTTTCTTTCTGTTTTGCTATATCTACACTGCCCAGATCTTTTGTGCAGCTCAAAATAGGCGAGGGATCTTGTACTCCATCTATTTCACCTGTTTCATCTGTCTGTGACACTGCAGACCTGTGAATCTCAGAATTTAAGATCCGTATTTGATCAGTCTTGTCATCATCCTGACTGTAATCTCGATCTTCTTCCTCATCACTCCTTCTGCTATTAGAAAAGATGCCTGTTGTACTTACGCGGTCATGTTCTGGTTTTTCGTGTCGTGCATTTTGCTTATCAGCAGTTTTTGCTTTGGACTGCTTTTGTGTATTTTGCAGCGATCTTTGAATTTTCTTTAATTCTTTCAAAATTTCTCCGTTTGAGTCATTAGCCTCTTCACAAGATTTAAGTTTTTGTCGTAGATATTTCATTTCAGATTTAAGTTGTGTTGTAAAATCTGCTAGTCTTTTTTTCTCCTCCTCATGTGATGTCATTTCCTTTTGAAGACGGTTATTCTCTGCACGCAGTTGACGGATTTCATTGTTCTTGGACCGGATTTCACACGCAAAAACTGCTTTTAATTCTGTTAGTGCTTCCCTTATAGGTTGTAGCTCTTCGTGTAAGCATCCTTTTAGGGTTTGTAGAGTTAGTCCATTTAATGCGTCTTCTTCACATAAAGTCCTATTTGCAACCTGCGACGAGTCTTGTGAAACAGAGTTCTTCATTTTATATTTACTCATAACTTCTCTTTGGAACTCAGCGGACGACACAACGCCTTCTGTGAAAGCATATATATAGTACACATCAGATGCATACTTTTCCGTTATTGACTTCCCGGTACCTCTTTGCCGCCGTTCTGTTAGGAAACCTGTAGGGAATTCTTCGATTGTGGATTTTGCATAATCATACATACTTTGTCTTATTTCATTCATCTGATCTGGATTTTCCACGTATCTTTCCACCATGTTCTCTATGAAATTCTCTTTATCGTACTGACCAAACTGTTTTCTGATTTCTTCATATATTTCATTTTCAAGTTCTTCTGCATTTTGAGTGCAGTAAACATTATTTTCAATGTAACTGTCACTCTCGCAGCCGTTTTATTCATCTTTACTATTACTCATATCCAGAACAGCGAATTATAAACATGCTATCCTGAACATTTGGAAACACCCTGTACTTGTCAAACAGCCTAACGTGACCTCGTTACTGGACACGATTGAGTTACACCTGGGTGATTTTTATACAGGTAAACAGATAATGTTCGACCGGAAGTGATAATAACTTGAAAATTATGCACTTTTTTGATAAACTGTCACGATAGATATATAAACAGAGCATCAATAGCATAAAATACCTATTTTTCTACGGTTTTTGATGTCTGGATACACGTATTCGAAGCATACAACGGGTGCACCGTTCACTCACCGTTCCAAGTCGAGGGGCACCATACGGGAAAAAAAAAACTTAAAAGTTGGTAATTTCAACTTTAAAGTGATAATTCCAACTTTAAAGTTCGATATTCCAACTTTAATCTTGGCTTTCCCAACTTTAAAGTTGGTAATTCCAACTTTAAAGTTGGTAATTCCAACTTTAAAGTTGGTTTTTCCATCTCTGTGTGGCTTTATGCATTATATTCAGATACTTTGTAGCTGGACTCGTGTTTCCGTTTTCTGCATGTAATTACAATGGAAAGAAAACGTTTTAAATTATGAAATAATGATGAAAGAAGGAATTATTAATTTCATTCTGTTTTCGTGTACAGAATTGATACATTTAGTTCTGTTGTATTTGTTGTAGCATGTAATATAGTGTTGAGTCATCTTATATATCGAACACCTATTAATGGTCTCATTTGTTTAAGCTTATTCTCTCAAACATAACAAAATATATGTCTGATCTCTTAAATAGGTTTGGTTGAAATCCTGTCAAGTACGTAGTTGTATGAAGTTATTCTCTATATAATTATATAAGATGGACTAAAAGAAATATAAGGGTTTTTAATTAAAAGTTGGAAGTTATATGTAAGGTCATATTGAAAGTCAAGGTAAAAAATGATTGACACAGATTAATTGCACACCAGTCTATTTCAGAGTATTAATTTTATTTACATTAATAAACTTGGTAATAATTTAAAATAAAAGAAAAAAGCTAAGAAAAAGGGCCAGAAGAGCTCAAATTAAAGTTGGAAAAGCCAGGATTAAGTTGGAAAATCCAACTTTAAAGTTTGAATTACCAACTTTTAAGTTGGAAAAGCAAACTTTTAAAATTGGAATTACCAATTTTTAAAAATTATTACGTTGCACTAATAAGCTTTCGTAGCAAAACCCAAATAAGATCATTGTGTTGAAAAGAATGAAAGTCAGTCATATCATATCTATTTTTTACAAGGCCTACACAAGTTTATAGGCAGTATAATTTTATTTTAACCATATCAATTATTTACAAGACTAGTCGCTTGATAGATATTGTTCTTATAATTAAATATCTAATTTGGTAGATATTTCTTTCAGATGATGATAGAATTTCTCAAGAAAGACATGATATTATGATTTATATGTATGTTGGTAAGTTTCAATAATTCTAATATCTAAAATTGAACATGATTACTTACATGCGGTCCACTTTATGTATCTATTCCTTTCTCGGCTTTATTTTCCCCAGAAGCTGCCTGGGCCGCCTTTATTCTCCTGCTGATATTCATTTACTTCCCAGCTAAGCCCCCCAAACCTCCGACTTTGTCAGCTTCCGTGGAGCGCATGGACTTCAAGGCTGGCGCCAAGTGTCTTGTCAGGTTTATAGATTTTATATTTACCATATGAAATGTTTAACTTCTGAAATTCTCGGTGGCTGTATTATAAATGTCTGTATATTGTACAGAAATGTGCGGTTTTGGATTATATGTGCTACATATGGTATATCTCTGGGAGTCTTTAACTGTTGGCAGAGTGTTCTTGATGTCATCCTTAAACCTCACAACATAGACGAGGTAATTAATTCATTACAATTTAACAAAACTACAATTGATGAAATGTTGCATTGATGTACAAAACAAAAAGACACCCATTATCAATTCGTCAAGTTAAATAAAAAAAGCTAGCACAAATCATATTAAACACCATTTTAGCTGTCAAAAGGTTTCCATAAATATGTATTAACAAATTCCATCTTCGGTGGCGAATATTTCTTTTATAGTGGATTGCACTGGGCGTTCGATCTGTTGATCACTGGTGCCATTTTGCACACGAATGTCATATAAATGGATTTTATTTCATAATTTCGACATTACTTCCCTTTGTGCAACATTACAATAAGTACTATGGTGTATCTAAGAAATAATTATAAAATGTTTCTCACAGAACGAGGCTGGATGGCTGGGCTTCTATTCCATTCTTGCAGGTTGTGCTGGGTCAATAATTTTAGCAAAGTAAGCAATCCATTAAATGATTTACAATAAAGATTATCTGTTTTAACTGTATATGAAAAAAATTAGTCCATTTTTCCTATTATTGTCTTAACAGATTTGCGGACATATTTTCGCGTCATACGAAGATGTTCCTCTTGTTGTTATATATTTGTGGAAGTGCTTGCTTCGTCTGGTTTACTCTTCTCATAAATGGAACCATTCCAGAATCTACATGTAAATTTTATTTTATTCTTTAATATGGTAGAATGCCTCTTGGAGTAAATTTTACAATTTTGTCCCATATCCTGTATGCTGGAATCTTGCAATATAGAGTCTCAGCAGAACTGTACAAACTCTATAAACCAATGCACTGGTGTGGGCTTCCTACATTGAATTGCTGTAAATACTTCCATTTAAAGCAGAAATACTGTATTTTAAACCAAGCTCAGAATCACTTTCAGACTACACTCTGCTTTGTTCCATTGGTTTAAGGTTAGTAGTTTTGGTTTGGTTACATTTTCAGATTCTTTGTATGCTGCTATCATTCTTGCCACGCTTCTTCTTACTGCCAGCGTGCCCCTTTATTACGAGATGGCGTGTGAAGTGACTTACCCTGTGGCGGAAGGGATCACCAACTTTGTCCTGACTCTCGTCAATAACATAGGGGGACTGGTATTTCTTCTCGTCGGCATGATACCCCATATAGGTAAAAAAAGGAACGGTTATGCACAAGGAAAATATCAGAAAAGTCTGCAAAATTGCGAGTTCTATTTTTAAAACTATGTGAACAATTTTTTAATTGAGAAATTTCTTCACAAGATGTTTTACCAACATGGTGTAAAGCAACGCTAAATTAAGGTGTATTTCTGTTGTGTTCATCAATTCTGGATTATTATTGCAGAATAAATGTACCAGTATATTCTATTAAAATCTATACAGTATGTAATATATACAGGTAACTCTCGAAACCTCGAAGTCCGCGGGACCGAGGAAAAACTTCGAGAGATCAAGAGTTCGAGTTTTCAAGAGTCCGGAATTTTCCGGGTTTGTTGACAGGTTTTAAAATTAGTCTTACCGGATGTAATAATTTTCATGCAGTGCTTACCTTTTACACATGGTTTTTATAAAACAACGATATTTTTTCGTAATTCAGATGAATATTTCATTAAACTGAGTAAAGCGAAAAATGTATATCGTCATATCATGTATATTTATTTATTCTTTGTAATACGGACATCATACTACGCATTCGTTACATGAAAACGACATTTTGCAGCGACTCGTATATTACTTTGTCTATTCCAAACATGATCATTGAACACAGTTCTGTAAGTATTTGTTCAATAGAAGTCGTCATATTGACATTGAGGCTGTTTCTGCTTTTTTCATATTTCGTTCAACTTTGACACTGACTCGAAATAAAAATTAAATTAGTGTTTTGTCTTTTAATAAATTACTACTTTTCAATGACACTGCGTCTCTAAATTATCTTAAAAGAGTCGATGATAATTATTTATATAGGCAAAATATGATTCAATATAAATCAATTATCACCTTGCAGCATAAGTGTCACCTGAATAAACATCCTGTCCCTCGAGACCCGCGTCTTCTACCTGGGGCCATTTAAATGTCCAGGTAAAGGTGCTAATTATATAATCTTGTATACACATAGCCACTTCGAGGTATCGAGGGTAAATTCTAATAGAATATGCATAGCGGGACTGCATTTTGACTTCGAGGGATCAAGGGTTTCGAGAGATCAAGAGTTCGAGAAATCAAGAGTAAATTTGCTTAGTTATATAGTGGAAAAATTCGGGACCGGAGACTCACTTCGAGCGATCAAGAACTTCGAGAGATCGAAGTTCGAGCCATCAAGAGTTACCTGTATTTTCTTATGAAATGTTTTATTTTAAATTACGTCTTTCTAAACACCAATCAAATGCAAACTTGGCAATATAATGAACCTTGCAAACTTTTAACAGGGACGACTTGGGAGAACTGGGCGTGTCTGGGCGCTATTGGGTCCTGTATCCCTGTCTTATTCCTCATCAAAGAGAATTACAACCGTCTAGAAGTAGACGAAATCAAACGCCAGTGAAGAATGCCAGTGGCTAGATAAAGACAGGACAATGAGATTATTTACTGTAATTTATTTTATAAATATTGACGCTAGTTTTGAAAATAAAAAAAATTAAATCATATGTCTTGCAAATCCATTTACATTATGAAAGGGGAGTTGTCCCGTCACTCGTCCGCTTGGTGCAGTGGTAAGAGCGAAATTCTTTCCTCGTTCTGGAACCACGGAGTAAGGAGTTGATCCTTACGTCGCCAATTCTAATCTCACTGCGGGACGTGGATAAATACTGGTTCTTGGATAAGACCATGTCCTATGTTGCCGTAAGTGCCGAGAACGGGCTTAAATTTGAAGCCTTTTACTGACGATCAGTTGCCCTACATGAGTGAAATATTCTCGAAGAGACATTTACCAAGCAAATAAACAAATACTTTTAACTTGTCATAAGGAGACGGTTCTCTTCGTCTATCAGGAACTCCTTCTCTGTGTAATCTATTTCATCTTTTAGTTCTATTAGTATTTTATTGAAACTTTGCACAGTAATTAGACATACATTGAAAATGAAACATGACGGAAAACTTACAAATTCAGTAACAGAAAACATAAGCATTCTGTTTTTGTGAATTCGTGCATAAGAGAAGGCTTCCACATAAGTTTCATATTTTCTAGCACAGTGGTTCTTGAGAGGAAGATTTTTAAATGATGCCATTAATTTTTCACAAATTCGTAATTATCTCCCCTTGGAAGAAGGCGTGGTCCTTCATGTGTCATTTACCAAAGGATACTTTGGCAAGTTTAATTGAAATTGGCCCAGTAGTTTTTGGAAAGAAGATGAAAATGTGAAAAGATTACAACGATGACAACGGACAAATTTCGATCAGAAAAGCTCGCTTGAGCTTTTGGCTCAGGTGAGTTAAAAACAAAAACAGAATATTGATTGTTTAATCATTGTAATTGATGTAGAACACTGGTATTACTAATCAAGAAAGCCATTTGGTTACTTTACACTTTTTGGGGATCTGAGATTCATTTCAGTTTTAGAATGAGTGCACAAATTATGCCTTTTTAAGCATTTTTAATGAAAAATTATCAATTAAGGAAGTTCTAAACACTGCTCAATGAAGATGTCCTTAATTCCAAGGTCATTTTATACTCTTAGAGTGATCAAAAAACATTTTTCATTGGTGATTAGAGATTCCTTAAACTCAAAAAATTAATGAGAATTACAGGTTGAAATTTTTAAAGATTTTTTAAATTGGCCAAACAAAATCTATTACACAGACATCAACGTAAAAAATTGCTTAAATAAGGAGTTGTATCTTTAGAAGCATTCACTTCTTTTATTGATCATTTAATTTTTAATCCAATAAAAAAGGTACAGGCATTGTAGGTTTTGACATGTTTGGTTTTGTGTAACTAGCAATGATAACAATAAAGTAAACATACATTTTCCATATATGATGTAGCAGACAGACATAATCACATCATTCGTACCAATAAATAACAGTACAACTCAAATCTAATGCTGAATATATCTGAATATTTTTTTAACTCTTTGGAATTACAGTGAGGTAAATCAAATACAGGATACAAGATTCCACTCATATAGCCTCAAAACATATAATGCTATATACTTGGAAAGCAATTTCTTGCTTAAAAAAATCATATAGCATTCATCATATCAACTGTTGCATTATTACTTGGATAAAATTAGTTGTACATCTACCAAAGTAAGATGGAATGTCATTTTTCATTATGCGTTACATTCAAACAAAGATATAAAATGATACATGTACTTGTAGATAATAAATCAAATAAGATTGCAAATTGATTATATAATCTGGTTAATTTATATCCACCTCGTAATTATAATAACTTGTCAGTTGGGTTATAAACATGAATATATCCGCAATAAAACTGTCAATAAATACTAAACAAAAAGAAATAAGTATATACCAGTTAAAGTATGTGTGTTTATTATAAAAAATTTAATAATTCTGAGAGATTCCTTATGCATCTGTATATATCAACCACAAACATGTAAGATTCCAATTTATTACATGCCTCTATTCAGGTAAAATAAGGAAGAAGTATTTCACTTCTTGTGGTAACTTTCATTAAGGAACGCTCTCTAACATTCGAAGACTACCATAAAAAATTCTAAGGACAAAATGGTTTAAACAATCACCTTTAACAAAATAATATTGTATAGATACATCGTGTGAGTCAACAATCCCTTCTGTCTAGCAAATCAACAATATTAAAACTGTCAAAATATGACTGAATAGAAAAATGGGCCAAAATCCTACATAGTCTTACACGTCACCAATATGATACCAGCTATGTCAACAACTATCAAGGATGACAACTCAGATGTATCTAGGTTAAGTTTTCATGTTGGTCTGGGCATAAAACCAAACTTTTCAGGCTGGTAGAAATGAGTTATGATGCACTGGACAATGTCATCTAATTCTTTCTGAGCCTGTTGTCTATCCATTCTGGAAAAAGAATTTGTAATTGTCTTACCTGTACAGACATTTCAGTAAAATTCACTCAACTCTGACATTTGTATGTTTATCATTGATACAGCTTAATTTTTCTATTTTCTTTGGTTCTGGGTATGCAGAGTTACTGTCCTTTATTGATTGTGTGCCTACATTACATTTCTTTAGCCTAGCTATAAATTGTTGCTCCTATCCTCTCAATGCAATGTGATTGCTCTGTACCTACCCTTGTTTGGGATCTGGTTTAACTTCTGTGTAGTATTTAATCTTTGGTTCTGTTCCACTGGTTCTTAATGTGGCAACACATCCATTTTCAAACGTAAATGTGATCATCTGACTAGATTTACTTACAGGCAAAACCTAAATATCAAAGGTAAGGCTTTATAATTAAGAAGCATTTAAATGTCCTGAGTGAATGTTTTCTTGATCAAAGCAATTTCATCACTATTTATTATATTTTTGCATAGAAAACGTTTTTATATTCGTGTTTACAATATTTTTATTTACAGCTGTATGTTAAAATCTTACTATTTTCCACTTACTGGTTTGGAGTCTTGTTTACTGTTGTCGTAACCCACAGTTAAGTCTCGGATGTATTTGATTTTGTAAGGACCACAGGATTCTGGGTACTAGAAAATAATCAGCATCAACATAGAAATGAACTTTCATAACCATCCTCAGACATAATCTACTTGATCATAAATTCATAATCCCTACCTTTCCCGTGTTGTTATAGTTTCTTATTTCCTCAAACATTTGTTTGATCTTTTCAGCTTCATGGCATATAAAGTAAGAGTTGTTAGAGAGGTGGTAACCATACCTATATCATAAACACAATATACAGTCAATCTTATTATTATTTTTTATAGAAAGAACTATATGTGGAAAAAGCATATTTTTGCTCACATAAAAGGCAAATTTTGAAAATCTCTAGAAATGTACACAATTGTATATATTGCATGAAAATTCTTAATTGACAAAAAATATTATAGCGTGGAAGTAGATTACTGGAAATTCTTGTTTCTATGATCTCACAAACTATTTAAATTTTCCTTTACTTTCAAGATAAAGGACAAAATTTATTCAATTTTTAGATAGAATTTACTGAGCACTAGCTTGCTCCAGAACAATAATCACATATTTTATTGATATTATAAATATACACATTATATCAAAAGATAGAGCTGGGACAGACCTGCACTCACTCTATGACTTTTAATCAAAATATTGATGCAAAATACACTTTTTTTTCTCTCCAAATCATTAAAAATTTGAATTTATGTCACCTTCTTGACGTCATATCTAACACAAGACATCATGGCTGATGAAAATAGGTAATGCTCTCAAGTCTGCAGATACCCCCTGGTTTAAAACGTTATTATAGATTTCTCCATCAAAGTTTTATTTTGGGGGGCAGTTATTGGTCATTACTGAATATAGTCCTTTTTGAGAAAGTACATAAACGTATCTTACAGAGAATAACTTACGTTTTATATATTTCATCCAACTTCTTATGTAATGTTGTGTTATTGTTGTACAGGTAAGTGGCCAGTTCTGACATCACCATTGCTGCTGAGATTCCATCCTTGTCAAGGACATTTGTACCACACATAAACCCTGTACCACATTAAAAGTTAATCAAGTCAATATGCCATCATAATAGATCATTTTTAACAACAGATCAATAATTTCACCTTAAAAACTTTCAAAGATTTAATTATATTTCTTACCAATAGCTTCTTCAAAAGCAAATAAGACCTTTTTGCCCTCTTTTAGTAAGTCACTTGCCAGATTTCCCATCCACTTGAATCCAGTCAAAGTTTCCTATAAAAATAATTTTGTTCTCTTTACCTTTTGCATTTTTACAATGTAAACACACAAATGATGGAAAATAGGTACATTTAAAAGTAAAGTCATTTAAAGTTGTCTTTTTTGATTTGCTTGTTTTTATAAACAACTGATAACTTTTCAGGAGTGATTTATACCCACACTTTGATGTTGGACTCTAGGGGCAGGGTCATTTAGAAGAAGATGTGTTTGTGAAACACTGATGCTCCCAACAGCTCTTGGAAAAGGTTCAAGTTTCTCAAATGCAAGTCAAACTCCAAGGTCAAGATATCAAAAATGTTGTACCCAAAGAAAGATCTTGTCACAAGAAATACACCTGTAAAATATGAGGATCTTTGCATCAACCATTCAGAAACTGTGGTCAAGGTTACATTTTTTTTAAGTAGGTGAAATTTCAAGGTCAAAAGGTCAAAATTGTTAGTACCCCCCAAAAAAGTTCTTGTCACAAGGAAAAAACATGTGAAATATGAAAGAACCTAGCACAAACCATACAAAAGTTATGGCCACAAAATATTTAACCTTCCTCATAACTTTTGATTGACTACAGCTATGACTTTATGTATTTCTTGTGACAAGACCTTTCTTTGGGTACCAACATATTTAGACCTCTTGACTTATTTAGACCTCTTGACTTGGAGTTTGACCCACTTTTGCAAAATTTTGCCAAACTTAAACCTTGGCCATAACTTCTGAATGGTTAGAGCTAGGGCTTGTACATTTCAAAAGTGTATTCCTTTTCACAAGATTTTCCCTTGGGTACCAACATTTTTGACCTTTTGACCTTGGCATTAGACCTACTTTTGAAATAACTTCAACTTTGTCATATCCTTTGAATGGTGGGTGCAAGGGCTTTCATATTTCACAAGTGTATTTTTGTGACAAGACCTTCCCTTGGGTACCAACATTTTTGACCTTTTGACTTTGGAGTTTGACCTACTTTTGGAAAACTTCAACAATGAACAATGAGCTATCATATGGGAGTATCATTGTCAAACAAATACATCTTGTTTAATTTTAATAAGATTAGTGCATAACTCTTACTTTTGAGGACTATCTCTCTAAAACTTTTTAAAACTAGAAATATGTCCATAGGACATGAATGCCCTGCCGAGTGCATATTAGTAATGCAATATGAAAATTTGTATTAGTCTATGAAGTTAGATCGGAATATCTTGAATGGTTTCTTTAAAATTGAAATTGAAATCTAAAAGGTCAAAAATTGTTGATACAGTTTAGAAGCTTACATCAGTATGTATTAACATATGAAGTTTGATAAAAATATCATGAATGGTATCTTTAAAACTGAGCTAAACACAAATTTTAGAAAAGTGAGGTCAAGGTCAAGGTAAAAAAAAAATTAATGCAGTAGAATAGCTTACTTCAGTATGTGTCAGCATATGAAGTTTGATAACACTATCCTGAATGGTTTATTTAAAACTGAGCTAAACACTAATTTATGAAAAGTAAGGTCAAGGTCAAAGGGGAGGGCGTGGTCAAAAAATATTGATGTACTTGAATAGATTACATCAGTATGTATCAGCACATGAATTTGATTATACTATCTTGAATGGTTTCTTTAAAACTGAGCTAAACACTAATTTAAGAAAAGTGAGGTCAAAGGCAGAGGAAAGGTCAAGGTAAAAAAATGTTGATGCAGTTGAATAAATTTCATCAGTATCTATCAGCAAATGAAGTTTGATAAAAATATCTAGAAAAGTTTGTTTGAAACTGAGCTTTTAACTGAGCTAAACGCAAAGTGTGAAGTTTGATAAAAATATCTTGAATAGTTTGTTTGAAACTGAGCTTTTAAATGAGCTAAATGCAAAGCACGATGGAAGGAAAGAAGGATTATCTCCCCTTGGAGTGGGGCTTGACCCTTCATTTGAACAATTTAAAATTTCCTTCACCCAATGATGCTTTTTGCCAACTTTGGTTAAAATCATCCCAGGGGTTCTTGAAAAGAAGTCAAAAATGTGAAAAGTTCACAGACAGGACAGACAGACAAAGGGTGATAAGAAAAGCTCAGTTGAGCTCTCAGCTCAGAAGAGATTTCAGCTCAGAAGAACTAAAAAGAGCTGATCAAATATCTTGAAATTACATCTGTACCAGGTACATGTACTATCTAACTTATAAAACTTGAATGGGCATGCAGAACGTGTTTGCAATTTGGTGATGGTGAACTTCATAATCATTGATCCAGTAAATAAGGACATATGCAACATCTAGAGGACCATTACAGTAAAACTCGGTTATAGTGAAGTTCTGGGGACCTGTGAATTTACTTCAATATATCCGAAATTTGTTATATCTGTATAACAAATTCCTTAAAGTATGCCTAGCAAATTCGCAATATAGATTTTTTCATTCAAGTATGACTATCAAAGGTATTTAGGGAAGAATAAAAAACAAAATTTGCCTTGCAGTTCAAAAGTTTTCAAATGAAATGAGTTTCAAATATAAATACTTATAAAATTAATGTCAGTTCAATATTTTAAAAAATTAGATCTTTGACAATTCATTATAAAATGTGTAAATTTCGTTATTTTTAACTTCTAGGGGTCACAAAATCAGTTCAATATAACCGTAAATTCACTATATCCGAGTTTGTTATATCCGTAAAATTTGGCAAGGAATTATTAAAAATTTTGCCAGGGATTGCAAAAAACTTTGCTGTATCTGTAAATTTGCTATATCTGTGTTTGGACTTAATGAGTTTTACTGTAGTAATCTACCTTTCCATATGATGTATAGATGGATGGGTTAGCAACAATATACATGTACCGTACCTTAACTTTCTGGAGAAATACTGATGTAATTACCTCAAAGTTGAATCCCTCCTTGTTTCCAATCGTTTGGAGAATTTTTGAGGATACAGTACTGGCAAACATATACAGGTCACTTACTGCAATAAACAATTTGTACTTCTTCATTTGAATGATACAAATGCATGAATCTTTTTCTTCTTTTTGTAAGGTTAGAATTATTGATTGAGCAATATTCACAAGATCTTGAACTTAAGAGTTGTTGATGTTACCTGGGTATTCTGGATATCTCTGTACAAAGGAAAACCAGCTCCACCAGCCTAAGAGAGCACCTGTTTCATTCCCTGAGAAGATGTGCCAGTTTCCACTGTGATGAATAAAACCTCATCATTACATTGCTATATTAAGACAAGACATCACATTGCTATATTAAGACATTACACTGCTATATTAAGACAAGACATCACATTCCTGTATTAAGATATCACTTTGACACCTGTTAGATATGTATTAGTAGACTCTACTCAAAAACATTTGTTCCAAGAGAAAAATCTATTTACAGAGTCAAAACTATTCATATTTTACTCCAGATATACAGTACATAGATGTTTACAGACAGGGCTCATTTATGAAACATACAGAGTACAAAGACAAAATATTTTAAATATTACACACTCTGGAAGTTTCTCTGCTATGGCCAGCCGGTCAGCATCAGGATCATTGGCCAGTATGACTGGACTGTTGTTTTGATCAGCTGTTTTCATTGCAATCAGCTAAGGAAACATGTCAAAATAAAAGTTAATTGATCTAGGACATCTCTAAAGAAAGTGTCTATGAAATCAGACAATTCTTCATTGCTTGCATGCACTGTTCATTACATCATGTATGTATTAGCTCTGTGTTAAATTATTTCTGTCATGGCTAGATAACACTGTTACTTACTAATGCTCCTTCCCCTTCTTCAGGGTTGGGGTACTTCACTGTAGGGAACTCAGGATCTGGTTTAATCTGTGGGTAAAATTCAAAAACAGCCTATGGTAAATGACACCATAAAGAAACTTTTACCTTTATACGACAGATGCCCTTTTTTTAATAATTGTTAAGCATATATACTGGTAATATATTAAATTTGAAGATGATCTCACTAAGAAGTCTGACAATCTTGATACTTAAATTCATATACCTGCTCTTGAGCTGCGATTGGTTCCTTAAATCCAAAGCTCTGACAAGCTCTCTTGAAGTATTCATACCCCACACCATGCATAGCAGTGTAAGTGAATTTGATTGGACTACACTGGTTTTTCTCTCTATCAATGATAAATACAGAAGACTTTCAAAAACCCAGTTTGATACATTGATATTATATGTGTACAATTAAACACTTTATGTAAACTTCCTTATATTGTACTGTGTACACAATAAGTAATATATCAGTTCTAACTACGATTAAGTCTTACGGTATAACATGATCACAGCAAACATACTCTTATCAAATACCTGCTTCTAACAGTCCTATTTTTTCACTATGTATTACAGTTGTAAATAAATGTCTGGTTATAATGATGAACTGATATATATGTATACATAATAGAAACTGTGACTTTCCCCATAAGTGTTTCACTTTATTTCAAGTATCAAATATTGAAATAATAAAGTTTTTAAATAATCCCAAATTAAACATCATCTTATAAAGTTGTTCAGATTCAATGCCTGATTCTGAATATCAACTATGCTCGTCTGAGGCTTCCTGCTGTCAATCATATACACAAAAGTAAAATTAATTGTGTTTCCAAACTTTGCTGTAGAACAGTATACATTTGAACATTTTTCATTTTCATTACATGATTATTCTGAACTATTTTATTAAACAAACTAGCATTCCCCAACCACTAAGTCACATGGTCCTGAAGAACATGTGGAAAATGATAATAACAAGCAGTTAATCAGTTGTGAGAATAGTTCTTTGGCTCTGGTGAACTACTGATGCTGTAGAGATCACAAACAAGAGGCCCAGGGGCCATATTGCTCACCTGAGACCACAAAAAAAGAGGAATTCACATTCACATGATTACACACACACTTCTTACTTGAAGTAACATAAGGTACACAGATCCCTGTTGTAAGCATCTAATATGGTGGCCAAGGGATCCTTACACAGAGGGGAGGATCTAACAGAGGTGTAATCCCAAGATGAATCCAGGATCTCCAGGTTTTGAAGAATGGACTCAGCTATCCCTTTGTCAATAGGTGAAATGATCTGTTAAAATTATCACATCACATATTTATATTACTTTTCTTGATTGATAAAATGTACAAGTATAAAACTGTATATATTAAGAATAATCATGACAAAGTTTATAAAAGAGCTATGTACAGTGTAGTTTTATAATTAATTTGTTCTATATATAAAGGTTCTGACCTGAGCCCCATTTCCCCAGTAGACTTTATAACCATTGTCATCCTTTGGATTGTGGGAGGCTGTCACCATAATGCCACATTCAGTTTTATAGTGAAGTACAGAGTAGGGCTATAAATAAAATATACAAACAACATGTAAAACATAATGGTGTTTGTGAAAAATCCCTCCTCCCTCTGGAGTGGCACCCTAACCAAATGTATATACTGTACTTTTTGGATCAAAAAGATCCTTAAAAAAGTGCCAATGACTTAAAATGTATTTCAACTTTAAAATATATGAAATTAAAAATATAAAGTTATACTAGTACTAAAAACAAGTACTATGTAAAATGTGGCATTGTCAAATTTACATCACCTGGAGATAATCATATAATTTTTTCTACCTTTATTCAATAACCATACCCTATTTTCAAAACAAGAAAAACCACTGATAGATGGCCAGGTCCAAATAACAGAAGAATGGGTAAACCTGGGGCAACCTGGAGGAAGTTACAGTAAAATACGCTTACAGCAAACACGCTTATTATGAACTAACACTTACAGCGAAATGATTTTCAATCCCCAGGGCTTTAAAATATACCATGAACTTAGTGGATATAACAAATTATTTTCATAACAAAGCAAAATTGTTTGTCCCTGGCACTTTGTTATAAGTGTGTTTTACTGTATATTGTTACATGTATATACCTTTATTGGCAATAAAGCTAAATAAATAGTTAAATAAATGTAGTATTAGATGAACTTACAACATAGGGAGTTGGACAGATGGAAGAGAAGAGGTAGACAGGAATTTCATCATTGATCAGAACTGTTGCAGCTAGAGATGCAAATCTTTAATTAAAAGAAACAAATAATAACATGAACTCAAATTTCAATATTGTCTATTTCATTATGCATAAATCTTTTAAGCTTCAGAAGTGAAAAATCGTTCTTACGAAAGTGAGTAAAGGCTAGGTATAATTGTGTCTGTGCAAATGAGTGAAATAAGAGGTATATCTATTATACAGAGAAAGTTCATTTTCTTATACATACTTAGTACCCACAACATGTTATAGCCAGTGTACTTTATGACATCATATAATTATGATGTCATTGTTCTTTACTATTAGAGCTAATAAAAAACATCAACGAAACAGTATCGGAGCAAGGGCACATCCTATTTAATTTTGCATAAATAATGCATAATGCTTGGAAGATTATTCTAAAGAGATTAATAAAATTGCTGCACAAATCCTATGCACTTTCTTTTTTTGATAAGAATTTAGGGAAACACACCAGACTGAATTTTTACCATGTTTCAACTCAAAATATTACAAATAGTACCTAAACAATTGACCCGTCGATATTTGTGCAGCAATATCATGAATCCTTTTAATATTATGCTTTTAACAAAAAGTCAGTGAGCCAATGCACGAGTAATACCCCTGCTCTGATATGAATATACGCTCTCATGAATCCCACCATATGGCATACCTAAACAAAGAATGTGCTAAAATTTCAAGCACCTGCAATAAGTAGTTGCTGAGAAAACTGCGACGAAATTTTTGTATAGACAGATGCATGGAAAAACAGAAAGTTCACATCAAATTTGTACAAAAATGAATCCAACCATATGGCATGCCTAGACAAAAAGTGTTCCAAAATTTCAAGCATCAGCAATGAGTAGTTGCTGAGAAAACTGCAATGAAAATTTGGTACGGACAGACATAGACACACAGCTAGACAAACAGACAGACAGACAAGGGTAAAACAGTATACCCCCCTCTCCTTTGGAGCAGGGGTATAATTAAACCTTGTTTCTGTAAAATAATATAGAGTATGCCTTTGTGTCAAAGATATTTTTGATGTTCTTAATAACCTTGTGTAGTAAAGAACAATGACATCATAGTGTGTACATGCTATTACATGTACATGCCTTGGGAACCAAGTATGTATTAAATAAGTTCAAACCTTCCCTGTATAATTTGTATAGCCCTTATGCGTTTTTATGAGTTCATTGCATAGAAACACCTATACCTAGCCTTAATTCACTTGTGTAGTTAATCATTAGTTAAAGACCACTATTAGAAATCATTAACCAATTCCAAAACAATGAAAACAAAATCATTGTGATAATATGATGCTCAATATTTACTCAGTGCAATATAATGCTTGTTATATTAGTGTAATTTGATTCTCAAACTTTAGTTGAATTTCATGGTAATTTAGTTCCATACAATACTTTATACATTGTAACGCTGACCTTTGACTGTTGTGTCTTCCGTCGTATCCAATGACAACACCATTTTTCTTTACATCAGGACAAGTCTTTAGCAAATATTTACTTAGACCCTGCAAAATAAAACAGTCACTATATTTTTCTGTTATGAAATACTACAAACAAGGCAAATTTTTGCCCCATTTTTATTTTTACCCTGTTCGCCCATGTCTCAAGAAGGAGAATTTAAGATGGAGTGAATTTAAAGAAGACAGCATTATTTATCTCTTTAACACAACTGTGTCTGAATTTAAATTCTGTGCCAGAAAAAAGTGTTGATTTATGAATACCAAGGAAACAAAAAGTAAAGCTATGTTTGGTGAAATTGCATATTATACATATAAGCTCCCCAGATATGGTTAAAAAAAATCTCAGATTTTTTACCTTTGAGGAACTTTTTTTTAGAATTTAACTGCAGAATACAAATAATACATTCCTGAACTGAAAACAAAACATCATGTCTATGTGAATGGCATATAGAACAACTTACCTGAGAAGTTTGTATGATTGTCACATCATTCATCTGGGAAAATCCTGTTCCCATACGTGCTCTTAAACCTGCAACATAACTTAACATACAAGATACACAAAGGCCACAATGCTCACCTGAGTATCCACTCTGTACCTGACAAATATCTGGATGTCATATATGTGCATTTTACATTAAACTTTGTTCCCAAAATTGTGGCCTCATTCTTGTCCCCAAGGCCATGATTTGAAAAAATTGAATCTACATTACATGAGGATGCATGTATATTCATACAATTGAGTGTGGCCCTGCTTTCTCTGAGAAGAAGATTTTAAAAGATTTTCCTTATAGTAAAACTATATATTCCCTTTTCATATACGACCATTTGTTCTCGTCTTTGCCACAGAAGCTATGACTTGAACAAATTTGACCTCAATAAAGTTGTATCTACAGTGTACATTGCATGAACATTTGTATACCCAGTAATATTTGAGCTAATTTTGCTGTTCCTTAGATTTTTTTAAAATTCTTTTATGACAATTTAAAAATCTGACTTTTTTTATGGACCCAAATTATCCCCAAAGGTAATGAGCTGAATATACTTGAAACAACACTACATGTCTTTTATGAAAATACCAACACATCAATATGACTAATTTTATTTTGAAGATTTTTAACATTTTTTTCTATATATACCCCTATGAAATTTTGACCCTCTAATGCAACCCACCTTAGCCCCATTGGCCATGATTTCAACAAACTTGAATTTACACTCAGTAAAGAAACTTTCTGATAAGTTTTGTTTTCTCTGGACCAGTAAACTTGAAGATTTTTAAATAGTCCTACCATACTTACTGTATTTTCTTAAATTAACTTTCCTTGAAAGAGGGTCTATGTGACCCCATCGTCACAAGCCATGGGTTTTGTGTCCATTCTATTTCAACAAACCATTGGCTGTCTGCTACAAAATTCTTTTGTTCTCATAAATGTTGTCTGCTAAAAAATTCTCTGGTTCTCATAAATATTAATGACACACATTCAACAAATGGAATAATTATCTGATGCTTTGTATATTTTACTTGCTTCTTTCTAAAGGATCCATTGTATTTTTATCAATGAATATGCCACTTTTAGCAAACATGATTTCATTATGGGCGTCGCCATGCAAACATAACCCAAAACTGTTACAGAGTGATTTCATTGGTCAAAATAAATCATGAATTAATTAAAAAAATATTCAGTGATTCATTTGCAAGAAAGAGAGAATTTTGTAGTAGGAAACCATGAGTTTGTGGAAATAAAATGGACACAAAACCCATGGCTTACAAAGATGATGCAACTCTTAATTTGTACAAATTCTAACCCACTTTACCTTCATACTTTAATTTAATTGAAATTGGTCTGGTAGTCATGGAGAGAAAAGTGAAAATGTGAAATGCTTACATATGATAAAAGTTAAATGACACAAAGACAGACTCTCAATGCACTTTTTTCAAATTAAATAAGCTCAAATGAATTTTGTAACAAGAGGCCCAAGGGCCTTGAATCACTCCTCTGATAAACTGTACAACCTATCACTTCTATTTGAAGCCTCTAAATATCCTGTATATTTAGATAAAGCATTGAAATTTCAAACGTAGGTCATCATGACCTACATTTTAAATGAAACACTTTGAGAACCCAAGATGATTCTAAGCCAATTAGTACCTGAGAGTAGGTCATGGTGACCTACTTATCACTTCAACTTGTCATTCTCTGAGGACCCAAGATGCATCAACTCACTAAGTTTGATGATTCTAAGCCAATTAATATCTAAAATATTTAATTATAACCATAAAATTTCAAAAGTAGGTCACAGTGACCTACTTTTCAGATGACATACTTTGAGGACCCAAGATGCATCAACTGACAAAGTTTGATGATTCTAACAGGGTTAGAAACTCCCTAAAATTACTACTCGCAAATAATTGCGAGTACCAACAAAGTGAACTCGCAATTTGATAAGACTACTCGCAATTTTCATATAAAGTTAAATTTATATAAATTAGATACATGTAACTTAAGGAAAAAGTAACTACTGTACAATACACAAAATACAACTACAGTGTGACTTTTATCTAAATTACTGATTTAAATCAAAAGTATTGTGTTCTGTCATACTATATAATTTTGCTACAGTTTCAATGCAAAAAAACTCAACTCGCAAGTTTTTGCGAGTTACCTAATTTTTAACTCGCAATTTGGGAATTCTAACTCGCGTTTTGCGAGTTGTATATAGTGAATTTCGAACCCTGTCTAAGCCAATAAATACCCAAATATTTAATTATAGTCATATAAATTGAAAAGTAGGTCACAGTGACCTACTTTTCAGTTGACCTACTCCAAGGACCCAAGATAAATCAACTGACAAATTTTGATGATTCTTAGCCAAATAGTACCTGAAAATATTAAATATAGCCATAAAATTTCAAAAGTAGGTCACAGTGACCTAGTTTTCAGTTGACTTTTTTTGAGGACCCAAGATGCATCAACTTACAAAGTTTTATGATCATAGGCCTTAAAGTCTCCAAATTATGCCTCTAAAATGCTTTGAAATGGAATGCCTGCAAAGTTCAAAAAGTAGGTCATTGTGACCTACTTTTTAATAAATATGTTTTATGGCCCCAAGATGCATCATCTTACAAGATTTAATGATTTTAAACCTCTCAATTTTCGAATTAATGACCTTAATTGTTTTTGAAAAAAGATTAGCCATAAAATTCAGTTTTTAGTTGACATACTCCAAGGACCCAAGATACATCAACTGAAAAAGTTTGATGATCATAGGCCTTAAATTGTTCAAAATATGCCTCTAAAGCATTTTGAAAAAGAATGGCTGCAAAATTTAAAAAGTAGGTCACCGTGACCTACTTTTGAGTCAACATGATATGAGGTCCCTAGATGCATCAACTGACAAGATTTGATGATCCAAGTCCTTATAGTAAGCAAAATATCAACATTTTAATAAAATGTCATTTTTCGTCAACTTTGAAGTGACCTAGAGACCACGCCCTTTTCTCCAGGGTGATGTCTTGAATAATTTTTAATCTACAACATATCCTCATCCTTTTGTGTAAGATTAGTGATAATCTGCCCAGTGGTTCTTGAGAAGAAGATTTTTACCAACCAGTACTTTTGGTTTTATTTACCTAATTATCTCCCCTTGTTTAAGGGTCACAACCCTAGTTTTAGTACAAAAGAGAGCCCTTGGGCCAAGGATGCCCTGTGACAAATTTGACAATAATTGGCCAATGGGTTCTTGAGTTATGGCCCATATTCTAAAAAGTTTACGCACACCGCACAAATGGCTATAGCAATAGCTCTTTGAGCCTTTGGCTCAGAAGAGCTAAAAATTTTTGGGTTAAATGAAAGTTTTACTTTAAATTTCATTTCCACAAAAAACATCAAGATACTTTTTCTACCATTAACAGTATACTTTCCTTCATTTGATAACAAATTCTAAAATTTCACTGAATTCAATGAGTACAGAACTATTTTGTATTAATTTCTACATATTAGACTATCTGGACTACTTTGAGGATGATAACAGATGTATAAGTGAAGCTTGCTTACTGTGTCCTCTAGTGAGAGATTGTCAAAGTATCCATAACAGTTTCTGTTTTTATTGATTAAAACTAACCTGCTGTTCCAAATTCCATCCTCTCTAACAAAAGCTTTCTAAGTCCTTTTATGTCTCCACTGTCAGCTAACTTCTGTATCTCTGCTCTAGTGATTTCATTCTAAAATAATAGAAATTTTTCTCTCCATTCTCTGTATCAAATACACTTAATACAGTTCTTTATAAAACTCCATGGTAAAAGTTTACAAATTAATGCATGCATATTCTGGCAATGCTAAATAACAACTCACAAGTGTAGGATAATTCACTGAATAATGAAGGTTGACATGTACACAATTTTTTTTATTCATATTTACTAATCATACTAATTTGCATTTCAATGTTTAAACATTGCCCTTAAAATTATGTTGGTATTCTACACAATGAGTGGTTATCACTTTTTTATATCATTATTATTGGTAATTGAAATTTGCAGATATGTACTTCGATACCAGTGTGCGAAATTAACGCCTGTCCAATGGTCCAAATCTATCTTAAGTTGAATCGAGCTATGCTGATCCGAATTGAAACAGACCGAATTCTCTTTCCCAATTTTGGCCATGGGTAAAATGAGATTGAACTAATTACCATTTTATATTTTTAAATATTTTATATTCAAAATGATTGTGAGAAATAGTTTGATATTTTTATATTTTGTGTTAGAAGAATTATTCTTATATCTTATTATTCATATAAACATTTTGCATCTTTTGATAAATGCATGAATAGTGTACTATTTTTATCCAATGTTTGCTTCTTGTGTGCATCAGTCATGCTGCAAATCGGAACGTAAAACACGAACAAAATAAAAGAGGGAAAAAAAGGATCTGAAACAAGAGGCCCATAGGCCACATCGCTCACCTGAGTAACTTTGGCCATGCTGTTCTTTACCAGATTTCCCCCCCTTTAATATACCTATTGTGGCCCCACCCTTCCCCCGGGGGTCATGATTTGAACAATTTAGAATCTACACTGCCTCAGGATGCTTTCAAATAAGTTTCAGGTTTATTGGTCCAGTGGTTCTTGAAAAGAAGATTTTTAAAGATTTTTCTTATATATTTCAATGTAAAACTTGGATTCCCTATTGTGGCCCCGCCCTACCCCTGGGGGTCATGATTTGAACAATTTAGATTCTACACTACCTCAGGATGCTTCCATATAAGTTTCAGTTTTTCTGGCCCAGTGGTTCTTGAGAAGAAGATTTTTAAAGATTTTTCTTATGTATTTCATTGTAAAACTTGGAATCCCTATTGTGGCCCCGCCCTTCCCCCGGGGGTCATGATTTGAGCAATTTATAATCTACACTACCCCAGGATGCTTCCACATAAGTTTCAGCTTTTCTGGCCCAGTGGTTCTTGAGAAGAAGATTTTTAAAGATTTTTCTTATATATTTCAATGTAAAACTTGGATTCCCTATTGTGGCCCCGCCCTACCCCGGGGGTCATGATTTGAACAATTTAGATTCTACACTACCTCAGGATGCTTCCATATAAGTTTCAGTTTTTCTGGCCCCATGGTTCTTGAGAAGAAGATTTTTAAAGATTTTTCTTATATGTATTTCAATGCAAAAATTGGATTCCCTATTGTGGCCCCCCCCCCTACCCCCGGGGGTCATGATTTTAACAATTTAGAATCTACACTATCCCAGGATGCTTCCACATAAGTTTCAGCTTTTCTGGCCCAGTGGTTCTTGAGAAGAAGATTTTTTAATGACCCCACCCTATTTTTGTTTTTTCTTGATTATCTCCCCTTGTAAGGGGACTTGGTCCTTTATTTTTACAATTTACACTCCCCTTCACCCAAGGATACTTTGTACCAAGTTTGGTTAAAATTGGCCTAGTGGTTCTTGAGAAGAAGTTGAAAATGTGAAAAGTTTACAGACGGACGGACAGACAGATGGACAGACGGACGGACGACGGACAATGGGTAATCAGAAAAAGGAAAGCTTCGAAGATGATATATAAAATATATTAACTGGTCTGCAGAGTGAAGTTCATATACGACAAATCTGAATACAGATTTTTGTGAAAAGCACAAAAATTGATTTTATATTTTATTTTCACAAGGCTATTATGAAAATATAACAGATACTTTAATATTAACTGAATAAAAATAAATATTAACAAAAAACAAGTGCATATTTATCAAGTTTACTTTTTGTGGACAGTCCCAATTTAAAATGAGATAGCCCAATGGGCTATTTCATTCTCCTACTTAGTTTCGCACACTGCAATACAATATATAATGTGTTCAGTTTAACAACAGTCATGCATGCAGATAGTTAGTAACTTTGTAAAATTAAAAGGTCTTTGGCCCAAATCCTGGTCTTGCTTGCCACAATGCAACAATGAATAACTTTTCTATGTCTCAAAGGAGTTCCTGCCAATGCATTCCGAAATGGCAGTTGATATAAAATGGATGAGGGTGACAGAACCTCTCACTATGAAGGAATGTTAACAGACATACCCGATCTAATTTTAGCCATTCCTGTAATTTACTGTCCACTTCATCATCACCTGTTGTCGGCCCTGCCATAATGGATGATTAACTACTCTCCAACTGGAAAAAAAATATGTATTGATCGACATGTATCCTAGATCTACATAGTAAATCAATCTTATTTACGTATCTCTTATGACAGGTGTGTTTTTAATTAACGGGTTTTTAGAAGATTATGCTACAGAGATATGCAAATTTCGTCTCTATATTTGATGCAATAGTAAGAATGATGCAAAAATAATGACTGTTTCATGAGATGACAATCAGCGATGCAATAAAAAAAAATATTCACCTAATAAATAAAAAACCTTTATAGCGTCCTTTGAAGGTCGGTAGTAAGTGGTAATCAATACAAAAAATCAAGGTCAGCTCTCAATGAAACCCAAACAACCCTAACAATTCCACAAAGTTATCAATATCAACATTGGATATTCATTACGTTAACTAAATAACTAAACCAAACACGTTTATTTTGATTTTTCCGGATTATTAGACGCCTCGACCTTTGCTGTATTTTCTTACATAAAAATGCATATTATACAACCACATAATAAAAAAGATAAGCTATATAAAACTGTAATAATGAATTATAACACAATTAATTAGTTAATGAAGATTTTACTGAAGTTTGGGAGAAAAATGGCCTTATATGCCTTGTACAAAAAATAAATGACACTGAAGAGGGCGTACACATTTTAATGATTTAATGGTTAACTGCTAAACATATTCCTCAAATCTGAAGGTTTATTTCGATGTAATTGAACATTACATATATATTTTTTTTAATTTGGGCTTTCAATAGTATTTTGATCAAGATAGCCTGCTCTCTATAGAGATGGAGTACCCTTGGAACAGCTTACGGTATGACTTTTCAAGGGGACGACCATTTGAATTTGAGGAAGGGGGGGGGGAGCAAATTATGTCGCCATTTATTTTCATGCCCTTACAAGACAGAATATTCATTTCCAAGATGGTCAGAGAAAAAAATCATTTATTTCTTTTTCTTCTCTAGAAAAAAAAGAAAAGAAAGACCCAAGGCCCAGAACACTCACCTGGGTCAATATAGCCCTGCGGTTCCTCATCAGCAGATTTTTTCTATTATGCATGTATATTCCTACTTGATCCCTGTTGTGACCCCACCCTACCCCTGGGTGTCATGATTTTTATAACTGTATCTCCACACTACCTCTCGGGGTCATGATTTGAACAAACTTGAATGACTAAGCCTTGCTTTGCTGTACTTGTGTTCCTATGTAAAACTTTGATCGCCCATTGTTTCCCCATCCATCCCCCGGGGTCATGGTTTGAATAAACGTGAATCTATACTATGAAAAGATGGTGACATATAAGTTTCAACTTTTTTGGCCCAGTAGTTCTTGAGAAGAAGATTTTTAAATGATCTACCAAATTTTTACTAATTCTTAATTCTTAATTATCTCCCCTTAAAAGAGGACATGGCCCTTCTTTTGAACAAACTTGAATTCCCTTCACCCAAGGATCTTAGTGGCAAGTTTGGTTGAAAATGGCCCAGTGAAGAAGAAGTCGAAAATGTGAAAAGTTTACAGATGGAAGACGTGCAAAATGGGATCATAAAAGCTCACTTGAACTTTCAGCTCACATGAACAAAAAAGACATCTGCCCAAACTCGGAAACTCTATTTCAAAGGGGAGGGGGGGGGGTTCCACCAGTCGAGGTCAGAATGAATATATTTCCTTACCAATGGAAGACAGATTATTTATTTTCAATATTTTTAAGGACAGCTTATTTATTTTCAAAATCTGCGAGCCCCCTCCCCCCCTTCTCTCTATAAGAATCTTGAAAGCGGCCGTCTCCTAAGGGAGATAACTTTGGATGTCTTTTTAGATTAATTGTAAGTGGTTACCTAAATGGTGTTCGAAAGAACTGCGAACGATAGTATTGTTCTCCCGCCTACCTCCAAGTCAATTTTCAAAAGTTAACACATTTGAATGATTTTTCATATTTATGTAGGTATTTATATGACTTTTCATAATACCTTACTTATTTGGGAGAACAAAGAGAGATAACTCTATAATTTTGGTAAAACGTGTTTTTCACTATAGAAATCAACGGAAAATATCATTTTTATCAGCATTGACTAAACACTTATAATAAATTAGGAGGTCCATGAGCTATACAATGCCTTAATTGTAGCTTAAGCTTATCTGAGCTTAATTGACCATATATATGCTTTGTGCAACTCTTTCAAAACTTCCTATGAACGCACCTGGCTCCACCGTCTCCAAAGTTCCAGACCATGGGTTGGAAAAATAGAACATACATTGTACCTTTCATGATAAATTGACACCTTAAAATTTCACTACATAAGGATGCTTCTATATTTCAAAACCGTTTGACGTATCTATATAAACAATGTTAACTGTATGTTGAATCGTGAACTCTAGCTTCAAGTCTTGAAATAGAGTTTACTGGTGAACATAGTTAAAAATGAGGCCCTTAAATCACTTATTTTAGAAGGGACAAAATTAAGGGAACCCCAATCTTTCAACAAGCGTTAGGATTTCATAAATATTATGAATTCTGTGGATTACGCCAGACGATGGGCCAAATATGAAAAAGAAGACCTTTTCACTTTGTCAGAATGGATTAAAAGTATCAGAGAGATGTTGAAAGCTGAGGGGGGAATATGAAAACCATCTATCCTTCTGTCTTCAATAATTAAGAAGTGAAAAAGAATAAGATAGACTACACGATCAGTACGTACTGGTCCCTGCTGACTGAGCAGGTAACAACAATGTATTTGTTTGTAAGGCTCATTATTTCAATTGTATTTTAGAAGAACTGAATTTAATTCTGCAAGTGGTAATCCAACTTATACCCATAGCTCCCTTTCTAAGGAGGAAATTCTTCAAAATCATGTATCAGTTTTAAATGTTTTTAATATTCCCAGCTAGCAGTCAAAGTGAATTTGAGTTACCATACCTACACTGGATTATTAAATTTAACATAAAATCCTTATAAACAAAGATACATAGCGGGTCCCAGTAAATGTTCTTCATAGCTTCTTTTTTTTTTTACTCCTCACTAGAATATTATCAGCAGTGAAGGAGAAACTTCAGGAGTACTGCTCAACAATATATTCGAGAAGTGTCGTAAATCAGATATGGATAGTCAAAAACCCCAAGGAACTTTTAGAAAATTTGAAAACAATTTTACTACCAAAACCATTAACATGAATACGTACGACTTTTCAACACTTTATACAACCATTCCTCACGAAAAATTAAAGTCCTGGGTGTTTTGACATCATAGACAGCTGCTTTTTTTTTTTAATGGAACGCGTAAATTTACTTACCTTATCATTGGTCATTTGCAAAATTATTAGTTTGTTAAAAAACATTCTGATTGTACACACAAGTACCCTGGAGTTGATATGAAAGAGATGCTTGAGTTCTGATTGACAATATCTTTGTAGTTTTTGGAGATCAGAAGCACTTTTTACAAAAGAACTTACTACTAAGACCAAAAACTTTCGTTGCTTGGAAAATATTGCTAAATAAATAATTATGTATTAAAATTGTGTACATAAATAAATCTTCCAAAATTACTTAAGAAGATGATCAAGATTTCCGAATTTATTCAAAAACAGAGTTAATTGCAAAATTACATTTTGGTCCTAGCCGTAAGTTCTTTAGTAAAACGGGACCCAGGTCTTCCAACAATCTGTCGGAATTCCCATGAGTACAAATTGCACCCCGTTATTATCATACCTATTTTTGTATTATAATATGAAGCAGAATTTATTCAAAAACTTACTCATGGGAAGAGGAAAACACCTGCTGTGGCTTCAACTCAACATTTAGATACATCCACGGCGTATTATCAATTAACAATAGTTACTTCCATTCATATGTCGACTCGATATATCCCAGTGAACTTTACATAAAAGATACGATCGATACAACAGAGCCTGACACATCTGTTTCACATTTTGATATTATACTAGAAAAAGACGTTAATGGTGACCTAACAACAAAACTTTATGATAAACGTGATTACTTCAACTTTTCAATCGTCAACTCCCTTACCTATGCAGCAATATACCCTTATAACCTGCATATGGGGTGTGTATCTCTCAGTTGATTCGATACGCAAGAGCATGCTCTACGTATGAACAATTTCTAAAACGAGGTAAGATATTGACAAACAAGTTGATGAACGTGATGCTGACTTCAACTTTTCTATCGTCAATTTCCCTTACTTGTGTAGCAATATACCCTTACCATCTGCATATGGGGTTTATGTCTCTCAGTTGATTCGAAAAACAAGAGTATGCTCTACGTACGAACAATTTCTAAACGAGACAAGCTATCGACAAGCAATTTGATAAAAACAAAAAATATCAGCAGTCTCGTTTGAAGTCATCATTTTACAAGTTCTATGGTTGATACGATGACCTTGTCAGCAAGTACAGTCTATCATTAAGTCGAATGCTGACTGATGTTTTTCATACAAATTGTTAGACCATTATTTACACACTGAAATGTCTACGGGTTTTTCCGTTTTCCCGATCATGACAAGGAGCACACGGCGGGTGTAACCGGTCGGCAGGGGATGCTAAACTCCTCTATGGCATCTGATCCCACCTCTGATGTTTTTAGAGGTCCGTGTTTGCTCTGCTCCTGATTTGTATTGTTTCAATGGACTTTTGAGCTTGATTACTGTTCGGTATCTCCATATTTCACCAAATAATGCAATTTCCAAGAGAACATAAGAGTAGTAAGGCCTTTTGTACCTACTTTTTTTTACACTGATTTTTACAATTGAGTTCAAGTTCCATTTATTCTCCCAAACCGATATTGGTACATGGGGGTACATTCATAACATATATACATTTTATACAAATTGGTCAGAGATACATACAAGTATACAATACAAAAAAGATGATAGAAAATAAGTATAAATATTAAAAAGAAAATAAAGAGGTACGGTATCAAAGAAGGACATCAACTTTCAAGATAGCAAACATAGTTTTTTTTTAGGGTTTTTTTCGTTCTTAGTTGACATTAGTTCATGAATTTAACAACATTTGCCCTGCACGAATAATATTTTTTTCCTTGCATTATCTACATTCTAGGATATAATGAAATTCGTAGGCAATTTGAGAATTATTACAGAGTGTACAGATTCTTTCGGAAAGTGGTATACCATACCATCATAGTTTATACTGGTAGATGATGATTTGCAGCACGAGATTTTAAAAGTATTTTTCTATTGGGGTTTTTCAAAAATAGAAATACAAAACATGTGCAGCTATTTTTTAACTTGATGAATGTTAATTCAAATTTGATTTCAAGTACACTGTACTTATTTTTATTACACTGTAAATAACTTACATATTTTTTTTAG